CAACTTTTCACTCGATTTCGGCAACACCCACAGTATGGATTGACATCGACTTCAAAACTGCTGGAGTAGTTGCCGGGTGTCCGGTGCTGCAGAATGAAACATGATGTAACAAGCCATTGTTAATAAATTTTTTCTACAAATCCCTAAGAATCAATTTTTTCAACATTCAAATGAACCATTGTTTTGCTTACTGGAGAAAACATAAAAACAATACGATCTAAAACAGACTTATAAAATTTATGATGACTACGCACCCGGACCAGAATGCACCCACCTTTGTGGTTCGTTATGTACAGCATTATAATTTTCTTTATTTCCTTTCTCTAAACGATTTATTCGATCCAATAATTCGGCTCTCTCCTAAGAATAAAGAAATTCGCAAATTTTTTATTTTAAATTTTCAGTTCAAATAAATTTCAAGATTTAATAAGAAACTTTTTCAACATCAAAATCTTGAGAAATCAATACAGCACCAACCTATCAATACAGCACCAACCTTTAGCAATACTTTCAATTTCACTGCTATGTCCTGGTTGACCTGCAAAAAATATTTTGAAGTTTCATGATATTGAAAAACATCAAAGTGTAGATTTCTAAATTAAATTATCACATTTTAAATAACTTCAGGACTTATGAATACATTTCAGCGTTTCAGCGCCTAGCATGTCTGCAAGGCCTAATTTTGTGCTGAAAAATTTTGTGATAAAAAACACTTTATGTCAGATAAATTTTCTATCAGAAATAGTAATACATATTTTCTGGTCGGCTCCCCTCCACAGCAAACCAAAACAATTCACAAACTACAATTTCAAACCACTTCAAAATTTTTTAACTTTTCAAATTTTAGCACAGTTTAATACTTACGACCGAATAGGTAGATGCTCCTCGTCTTCGCTCTTGAAGCTGAAACACTTATCTTTCTAGTGAAGTAATGAATTATTAAATGCATGAAATATACCATCACTTCCGTGTCGTCATTACTATTTAAAGTTACTCAACAACTCAGTAAGTCGATAAGCATAACCATGTTGCCAAATATTTGAAAACTAATAAACTTGAAACTAAAACGCGTAATTAAATTAGCTTAGATGGCAGCACAGAGCAGATTTTCATCGCTAAAATCAACTCTTAAATTTTTAATAAGAGTTCAAAAAAGGCTTTAGGTAAATCACTGGTGGCTACGAGCACAGAAAGAACAGTGCCGCAATCACATTTAAATCATACCATCAACATATGTAAATCAAGTGTGTTCTAAAATCAAAAAAAAAAAAAAAAAAAATAAAATGAGAAAACAAAACCTCTTTCTGAAGTCGCGATATTTGCTGCTCACGTTCCGAAATTGCGTCATTATAATATTTTTCCGTGGCCAATGCCTCCCGCCCTTTTTGCAACAGCTATAAGGGAGAAAAATAAAATCAAAAAAGAAACACATGGCGGAAACACAAGACAGTCTACGATAAAAATTTCATCCTTTCCGGTAAAAATTAAAACATTTTTGAACTCGGAAAAAATGGCTTTAAACTTGTCAAATTTTTACATTCGGTCATGAAGCCTGACAAAATTTGAAATCGAAATTAAACTATCTTCTCACCATACTCTGCAATTTATCGACACATTGCTGAAGATTGTTATTTGCAATTTTAACAGCTTTCAATTCGTCATTGCGATTCGGAGCGCTAACTGATGCAATTGCATCTGGTTCCAAAGCAGCAATAGATCCATAAAGTAGCTCGTTTAAAGCATTATAACTTTTACAACGCTGATCTAGAATGAAATAAATTTGAAAAGTCTGTTTTTCGATCAAAGATTCATTACACAAAATTTTATCTCAGAAATGAAATCACTGCTAAAATTAGTCCAACTTTCCACTAAGCATTCGAAATAATGTTTTGCTGAGTAAATTTTTTTCTTTTTCGAACGGTTTCCCATCCTCTCAATCATGCTAATTCAACTTTTTAAAATAAATTATCTTAAAAAGACAAATTCCCTATTTAAAGACATTGTTTGATTAAGCTGCCATAAAAGGTCAGTAATTGACCACTTAAGAGATACAGTCAAAGTGACAAATGGGAAAAAAGTTAATAATAACATTAATATGTTTTTATACTTTTTATTATGTTTCTCTTCATATTTCTTCTGTTCATTTTGCTGCTAGATGATTTTTCTTGATTGATGGATAAGCAGATTTACTAGTTGTAGAAAAGTATGAGGAAGTTGTCATTCAATTGCAATAAAGAAAAGATCGAGAATGTATAAAAAAAGTTTGTCGTTTTTATCTTCGAAATGTATAAAAAAAGTTTGTCGTTTTTATCTTCGACCTTCTGAAGAATGGAAAATGTCTCCCGAATTTCCTAACAACCCTATGTTAAGCTCCCCCTGGTAATTTCATTTCAACCATTGTAAAATTTGTACAGATCACGAGGAATTCTTTTTAATGGAAAATCATTTTCGTGATATGCAGAAAGAAAAGATGATAATAAACGAAAATTGAATAATAACCTGGAAATAAACTATTGAGAATTTTCAACACATATAAAATACCACAAAAAATTGGTTAAAGGAAAAATATTACCAAGATGTGAGCATGATGCACATTTCCTCACCATTTTCAACTGCTTTGCCATACTTTCATTGTCTCTTTGAACTTTTCGCAACTGTGCCTCAAGTTGTTTGTAATGAAAAGCAAGCTGTCGTCGTCTTTCTTTTTCACCATGCAACGTTCGCTCTGATACTGCAAAATTTAACAAGTGGCATCTTCTTCGGAGTTATAATAATGTCAAAAGTACTTTAACGAACTAATTGAATTTTTTTTTCATAAACGATAACTTTAAACGTTCTTGACCTTACAAATTACTCGCTTCAATAATTCGAAATCATTATTAAATTGAGAGAGGAGTCCTAAAAATTTTATTCAAAATATACTGCATTACGTAATTTTTTTACTTATTCCAGTTTTCGGTACCCAACTCTAACTCTTCTACTAGATTCATATCTGTCCTCCTTAAAATATACTAGTCCTCAGTAAAATGTGAATTCTAATCATTGGACTTCAACATTTTTTTACGATCGTTATTCAACAGTGATTACCAAAAATGCTTTATTACAATGCCATCAATTCAATTAACTGCAACATTCTTCAATATCACCTGCTAATTATGCTTTTCGTACTTACTTACAGAAGAATAACAGAAGGATAAAGGATTAAACAATATTACCACGAAGACGTTTCTCATATTCCTCCTTCAGTTGTTGAACATATGTATTCATTTAAGTTCGCTATAATTATTTAATACCGCATAAAGCTGAACGGCAATACACTCTGAAACTCAGATTTATAAAAAACAGCATTTTGAATTTAAGGTGTTAAGTGTTAATGTTCTGACTTTCCCAGATCATACCATTCTGGACCAAAAACACAATAATTTGAAATCGTAACCTTTAGCAGTAATACTTAACCTTCAGCAGAATCAAGAATTCCTCAATGGCTAAAAGGGTAAATTGTATGCAAATTAAAGCTGAGAAAAAACCTAATCAAATGATCAAATTAAATTCATGAACTACATTAGTTTCCATCTATTGAACAACTCTAAACTGATAAAGTCCCGAATTTATAAAAAGATGAAGAACTGTTAGTTTTTTCCCCGTTCTGCCCATGATAAATGACGAACTTTGTAATTCAATCGCAAAAAATAAACACTAGTGTGACAGTCATGCAGAAACTGGATAATCCATCAAATACTAATGATGCAAAATGTGGAAAGTAGAGGAAATGAGCAATTTAATCAAAATATTTCATGTTGAATCAACCAACAATAAGAAAAATAGCAAAAGCAACATCAATAATGACAACAGCAACAACAACGGCAGACAACAATGTAGTATATATACATACAATAAATGGGTAAAGCCAATAAAGAAAAAATCTTTTTTCCCACTCACGAATTCCCCGCAGTTCATTTTATAGAAACAGATCGAAACCATTTAACTACCCATTTGCCAACCATAATACATAAGAATCTACGAACTTTGAAAAGCAATGATGCCGATTCCGTATAAAATGAAGTTTGGAGCAAGAGATACTATCAAATAATTATGTTTCCTTGATAAGTCCCGTAACATCTTGTAGATAGTGCAGTGCTCGTTCTTTAACCTGAAAAATTAGAGAGGAACGAATTAAATTATTACACTTCCTATGTTTGTATTTAATCTGAAGGTACTGTGCAACACAGAACATGAATTCAAAAAATTAAATGGAGAATGTAAAATACCAGAGTAGGTTTCATGATTCTTTAAGACAAAATGTCGGTTTTTATTGTCTTCTTATTGAATTATCTTTCGAGTATTCGTCATTTATAACAAAGGAAATTTCAATTTACATCTTTCTCATCTCAGTCTTTACTCCATTCGACGACTTCACTGGCTTACTTTAGGACTTAAATTTTTTTATAAGTTCAAATAAAACAGACATTATTCTGCTGTTCCTCATCACCATGCATTTGCTCCAGACCAACCCATTTCTTGAAAAATAATCGAATTTTATGGGTGGATAATTTTAGTGCGGTGACTCGTTCAAGTAGCTGTCTGAAACAAATCTTTTGAAGAAAATCGTAAGCACCACCAATCTTTAATCATTTTCCCACATATACTGAAATTCATGTAAAACAACTAGCAAGAACTTATTGCGAACAGGAAAAATACTCACCTTGCATCCTCAAATTTTCCAACTTTGATCAGCAGATCAATGTAGACTGTCCAAACATCTGTTTTCTTCGGATATGAATTTAAAATATTTTCAAAAATTGTTTTACTTTGTTCCATATCACCGAATTTGAATTCAAGTTGTGCAAAACGGCTCAAAATTGTCACGTCTAAAATTCAATTCAAAAAAAAAAAAAATCAGATGAGTCATGTGATGGTATGTGAGTTATGGCATATACTGTCTTTTGTAATCACTTTTTGATTGCTACCATTTCTAGTCTAAGTTTCATAACAAGAAATCAAATATCTTTACATTTTGATACAATATGCGGCGAACAATCTGCAATACTGACATGACCTAGAGGACATTAATATCAAGTAATATTTTTTCATCGTTGTAATACGAAGTGACGCAATAAAAATAAAAGCCAGACAATATTACATTTCATTGCTTTGGCAAATAGATAGAAACCTACGGTGTTTCCGAGATAAACAATTGATCGCTTTCTTCATCAAATCCCTTGCTTTATCTGGACGTTTGGTTTCCAGCAAGTGTTGTCCATAAATGAACCAAACATCCAAGTCATCGTGACGAAACCGTTTCAACATTTCATCCAATAAATCATCCAGTTCCTACAATAACCTTTGTGTGAAAGTTTACCCGCAGTAAGATTAAATCAAAATTCTGGAAATCATGTTTTTTCTCAGCAAAGGATATATCCCCAAAAAATTAAAAATTTTTTCGAAACTTTTTTCGGGAAAAAGTTCTACAAAAAAGACTTTGGGTTAAAAGAACTGCCTTTTCGATACCATAACAGTCCTTCATAGGCATTTTCAACTCCCTGCCAAATAATGCGCCACTAGCAAAAGATAAACTACTATCAAAATCTGAAACAGATAATGCAAAACATCTAGCATACCTGGATTTTTCCTAGATTTTGGTATATTTTCACCATTTGCTTATACATTTTCAAAGCATCGGTATTTTTAATAGCGTTATCGAAAACTGCCTTCAACGATTCGCTGGTACCGAAATTTCCTTCTAAATTGAGATATGCTGTCCAAACATTGAAAATTTCGTCCTCTTCACTAAAGAAGAAAGAAATTAAATTATGTGTTTATATTTCACACAGATTACTTTTCAACATATTTTTTCAGTATATATTTTTCAGCTATTTTTGTAAAGTAATTCAGAATAGATTTTAAATAATCCTACATAAGAATCCTCGTGTTACCACTTTTAACATAGATTATCTTCCAAAACAACCATTCATATTAAGAACTAACCGGAAATTGATAACTGAAAGTGCTCGATCCGCAACTGCCCTTGCTTTCTCCACGTCATTTTGTTCCAGAAAGAATGTAATATACCTGGAAAAGTATTGGCAATAAAAATTGACTTATGCTAAAAATTCCTTCTTCCGTTAAAACATAAAGCAACAACTCGATTTCAGTGTATCATGGAGACAATGTTTTTACCTGCAAACATTTTTCAAACAGACATCCTATTTATTAGAAGATCCAAAAAATATATAAACAAATTTAAGCACACCGGATCCACAAAATTGAAGAATTGGGTGTACCAGCAACTAAACGATCAAAATCATTCGTGTTATCTGGGATCCAATTCGCTTCGAGAATCTTTCTTTCACGATTTATTAATTTCTTTTCCTCTTCTATTTGAAGCTCCTCTTTAGCTAAAACAAATAACAGTGTATTTAAAAAAACGACATTTTCAAGTTCAAAAATTTCTGCATTTAGTTAAATAAAAGAATATAACTTTGAAGCATGAGAACTTTTACACCTACAAAATGCCTATCATTCAAAAGTTATATTCCCTACCATTATTGGTAAACAAATGATAAACTACATAAAAATACCAAAAAAGGCACGAAAATATGCTCAAAAACTGAAACTTCTTCGATATGGTAGAAATTAAAGATAGATTAATATGCAACCCATGATAAGAAAATCACTATTTGAAATTCCCATACTTTTTGGTCTGTTTTGCTCTTCAATATTATCAGCACTAGATTCATCTTTTGCTATTGAAGTACTAACTGGAACATCCACTTTTTGACCAAGTTGCCCTACTTTTGCAAATTCTGCTGGTGTAAATCCTTTTAGAGACCAGTCCAAACCTGGTTCAGGCAACTGAAATTAAAGGAAAGAGTTTAAACCCACAAATCAATTTAATCTAAACTAACAAACTCGCCAGCTAAACCTAAATGGCACATACACAGGTAATATTCAGCATACCCACATACTATAAGTTTTCTGTGAAGCTAATTCTTACTTTTGCTTCAACAACAGTAACTTGTGGCGGTTCATTCTCTTTCAAATGAGATGCCACATAACCAGCTGCTTTCGATTTCTTCCGTGGTAAATCGACTGCGATATCAGATCCAGATCCAACACTTATGAGCCTCTTCCGTGGTTTCTACAAAATATTCGCATTTAAGGCACTTTATAATTTATGAAAATAACATTAGTTCAAAAGTATCGAAAAATTTAATTCGAAAATAATGATTGGAAAGGAGAAATGAGTCAATAAAATTTGGAACTAGAGGAAAAATCAGCACAAACTTCATCCGGGGGGCCTTCTGCAATTAAATCGACAAATTCTACTTTCAAGCCACCATCCGCAAAGGTATGACTAACGCGAACTGTAATCAAATCATCGGGTTTTAACGATAATCTGAAAATTCTTTCACTTCAATCTTCGTTTCATGATGTTCATGAATATTACAGTTCTGTTTGTTTAAATTTATTTATTTAAAATAAACAAAATAAATTCTATTTGTTTATTTAAAAGTTTATTTAAAATGTTTAAATAATCACTTTAACTACAACAATGATCGCTTAATTTGTTCAAGGACTTCTCCCTTCCTTTCAGTACAGCGAAAACTGCTAATTATTTTTGTTATTAGAAATGATCACTGAAAAAAGTATTTCTTCGTGTTTTATTTCTGATTTTGAAATTTTATGGTTTAGATTTAGATTCGAAATTTAAAAAAAATAAATAAAAATAAAAAATAAAAACATTATAATGTGAAATTGATGTACTTCTTGCATCTTGAGACGCAACCAGTAATACCAGGACTGATTTCGACAAAGATATGAGCATCATCAGATGCTGAAGTTACGAACGCTTGGAGCTTCGAACTGATCTGAAATGAAGTCATGATTTTAAATTATGATATAAAAAAAAGAAAAAACACTGAAAGGGTAATGGGAATGTACGAAAAATGAAATTACTACAAAACAGCAGAAAAAATGAAAGGAATTAAAAAACTATTAGGGTACATTCTATGATGCCTGTAACAATTCGCCTGAAATAGCCACTCCTCGATCCAAAACAATTATCTAGAGATACACTAAGGAAAGTGATGGTAAAATCCAATGCTCTCAAAAACATTTACAGAGGGAAACAATTGAAATAAATTTAAACATAAAAGAATACAAATTACTATGGCACCAAACCTTACCTCAATATCAGTTCCACTTCGATACAGCATATTTTTCGATTTTTTCGAAAAGCGTGACTCCGTGACAGCAAGCCATCTACCCTTATCATTATCAAAACGCAAAAGGTGCACATTATAAATCTGAATTTACAACGTGCTGTAAAATATTTAGAAAGCAAAATAACGCGAGAATACATCAGCAAATTGAAGTAATGAAAACTGAAGAGGAACTTCCACAATTTGCACTTCGGAATGTTTGCTTCAAAAATTCCATTGTAATTGATTGTAATTTTTGTAAATTTGCATTCATTCAACTCTATCATTATGAATAGAAAACGTATATATATACATATGTATATATATATATATATATATATATATATATATATATATATATATATATATATATATATATA